AACTCCCCCTTCTTGGCCATTATTTCTATAGTTATAACTTATTATTTAAATCCAATATTAACTTCATTTTTGTTCAGATTTTGCAAAAAAATAAAAAATAAATAAATTCCTTCATACCTCTTAGCTTCTGTTATTGAATTATTTTAACCATTGGCTTGAACCCAAACCGTGTGAGTTTGTTAGTTCAAAGGTGTGAGGTCAATAACTCATCTATGAGGTGTACAATGAACAAGGGAATTTTACCTGGTAGTATTTGGTATGGATATAGGGGATTTTTTTCCTCGCTGCTATCTCACCCACTCACCGTCTGTCCGATCCTATATGTTGTAGCAAAGTTTTCTATGAATCATCCCTATTTTCAGATACTAATAAATAGCACAAGCCTAGACTTGTTATATACTTTTAGAACAGAAACACGTTTGAGAAGGCTACTGGTAGTTTTCCTCTAGTCCGAGCACAAAGGTAAGAAAAATATGGTCTGTTTTGTTGTCTTCTTTGTCTTGTGAAGTGATTGTATTTCAGAGGAATACTGTCTCTGGAGAGGACCTTACTGAGGAATAATGTAGTAGAAAGGCAGATACCGTATGTTGGACTTTTTTCAGTGTTTGATGTGTGCTATTGTGTTGTCTCCCTCTGGGGCACAAGTAGTGAATTTAGGTAATTTAACATGAATGTGTGTGTGATGCCCATGAAGTGATATGTTCTGATGCAAATATTTATTTCTGTTTCATTGTGTGCTTATTGTAATGGTGTTATCAATGGGAAATAGATAATGTATCTTCCCCTCAAGATATTAAAAATCTGGAAAACAATTGAAAATAAGCAAATAAAAAATGACTGTTCATGTACTTCTATCAGATTTTCAGAGAGGATTACACACTTAGATCTGTTAAGCATTGTTAACATAAGGAAGTGAATTGTTCTATCAAATTGCTTTTGTTCAAAATTTAACTTCATCCCTGTTTCATAAGCATATAGTGCATAGATTTTTTCAAAATTCTTACAAACTACTTATTTATTCCAAATATATGCAAAAAGTGTGGTAAAAAAGCAAAAGTTAAGCTAAGCCTCATTGTTCTTGCAAGTTTCTTTATTGTCTTTGTACGTGTTCACACATGGTTAAAGTAATACTCAGAAAAAAATTTAACTGAGGTCACTAGACTGGTTGGTTGCATGACATAGAAATTAATATCCTCAGGTAAATTGTGGGCCCAATTGTGGGTCCAAACATGATACATATTATATAACAGTGTCATTTAGACCAATTTCAGTTAAAACTGAGCCGGGTCTGAATGCGTCAGTAGAGTCACCACACCACCTGCCCTGCCCGCAATACCAGTATCTAGTTACTGCCTCAATCTGTGCTCAGTCCAACAGAGCACGCAGCTGTAGTATCCTACCTTTATGAAGTCATTGGAGTGAGACATCAATCAGAAAAGGGGGCTTATTACACTAATTTGGTTGCTTAATTTTTGATGTGATTTTTTACCAATTAAAACACATTTCTTACCTGATTTTTATG